CAACGTTCCGGCGACCCGGGATGAGGGGAACGATCCCAGACATAACCCTCGCATCTGAGTCTCTTCTGCCAAGGATCACAGCCTGGAGAGTCTTGGAGGATTATACGGCCAGCGACCATCAATACATTATTTTCAATGTCTTAGATCGCATCCCGAGACAAGTTGCTGCATCTCGGGAAGTGCCCGTTCGGTGGAACACCAAAAAACTGGACGTGGCTAAATTCACCGAGGCCATCCTGCGGGGAGTGCCAGCGGTGCCTGCCGCACCTGGCATGGCTCATGCAGAGGCTATAGTTACATAGATGATGGGGCTGATTGCCTCGGCTTGTGATGAGTCAATGCCCCGCAAGAGACTCCGTTGCGATAGGAGACCCGTATACTGGTGGACTGCAGAGATCGCGGATTTGCGCCGAGCTGCTTTGAGAGCTAGACGACTCGCTACCAGGGCCAGGGCACCCTTGGATAGACGCCGTAAGCTGGAGAGCTACAAGGTGGCGAGGAAGTCTCTCCGCCGGGCCATCAACCGGAGCAAACACAATTGCTGGAAAACACTAAGGGATGATGTCGATTCCGACCCGTGGGGCCTGGGTTACAAACTAGTAACCCAAAAACTCACCACTCGCTCTCCACCTTCCGTCATGGAGGGGGCCGCTATGGAGAGGGTCGTCAAATCCCTTTTTCCGGATCTTATTCTGCGCCCACTGCGTGAGTTTGAGATTATGGACGATGTCCCACTCTTCACTCATGAGGAGCTGGAGACTGCCGTTTTATCCCTGAAAAACAACAAGGCTCCTGGACCTGATGGGGTACCTGGCGAGGCTCTTAAGAAGGTTTTTTCAATCAATCCCCTGATTCTTCTGAGCATGTACAACGCCTGCCTAGCAGAGGGGGTATTTCCGTTGTGCTGGAAAAAAGCTAGGCTCGTGCTCGTAGGGAAGGGGAAAGGAGACCCAGAATTGCCGTCCTCTTACAGACCCCTTTGCATGTTGGATACGGCTGGGAAAGTCCTAGAGAAGTTGATCCGTTCCCGACTGAATTCAGCCGTGGTTGCTGCGGGGGACCTGAGCCCTCGCCAATACGGCTTCAGGAAGGGGCGATCAACGGTCGACGCTATTGAGGAGGTGAAGCAAGCCGTGATGAGAGCTGAGGATTTTAATCACTACTCTCGTAGGGTTGTGCTGCTCGTTACACTCGATGTGCGAAACGCATTTAATTCTGCAAGATGGTGCGATATGCTGGACGCTCTGGAGAACAACTTCCACGTCCCGGCATACCTCATGCGCATTATAGAGGATTACCTCCGGTTCCGCCTCCTCATGTATGATACTACAGAAGGCCCGCGGACGATGAGTGTCACTTCTGGTGCTGCCCAAGGTTCCATACTCGGCCCGGACCTCTGGAACGTTGCCTACGACAGCCTCCTTAGGTCTGAAATGCCTGAAGAAACCGTTTTAGTTGGGTACGCAGATGACATTGCAGCTTTAATAGCTGCTCGTAGTGTTGAGCTGGCCCAGCTAAAATTAAACCGAGTCATGCGAACTATAAACGCATGGATGGCAGATCACGGTCTCTCACTCGCGCTGAACAAAACTGAGATCGTGATTCTGACCAAAAAGCGGATTGACACCATTGTGCCGTTGAGGGTGGGGGACGTCGAAGTCCAGTCCGTTCGTGCCGCCAAGTATCTTGGTGTCATGGTGGACTCTAAGCTTAGCTGGCGGGACCAGATATTCCGAACAGCGGACAAGGCCGCTAAGGTTATCTCTTCTCTTAGCCGGTTAATGGCCAATGTCGGAGGTCCTCGTTCCAGTCGCAGAAGGCTGTTGATGTCTACAGTTCAGTCTGTGCTCCTGTATGGTGCGGAGGTGTGGGCAGACGCGCTCAATAAGGAGGTGTATAGGATGCGGCTTGCCAGAGTGCAGCGTCAGGCAGCACTCAGGGTAGCATCCGCCTACCGAACAGTGTCTGAACCTGCCATCTTGGTGGTTGCTGGAGTAATCCCCGTCAAACTTTTGGCGGCGGAGAGGAAAGCGATTTATCAGCGGCGTGGAGAGGACCATGCAAAAATGGAGGAGCGCAACCGCACCTACCAGCTCTGGCAGGAGAGCTGGGAACAGGAGTCGCGGGGACGCTGGACCAGGAGACTGATTCAGCAAGTCCAACCATGGGTTGACCGACGGTATGGTGAGGTGGACTATTACCTTACCCAGTTTCTGACAGGTCACGGGTTTTTTCGGTCGTACCTGTTCAGGATGGGCAAAGCCGTGTCACCCGATTGCATCTACTGCCCAGGCACTCCCGACGACGCGGAGCACACCTTCTTCCGCTGCCAGCGTTGGGAAGGTTCCCACCTGGAGGCTGAACAACATGTAGGGCAGTTGTTGGTGGACACGGTCATTCCGATGATGACGGAGGGTGAGGACAATTGGACCTGTATGTCACATTTCGTCCAGGATATTCTCCGCACAAAGAAGCTAGAGCTTGACCGAGATGCAGTCTAGGTCATAAAGAAATTGAATGCCAGAAACGGCGCGAGCCCTGAGGGCTTAGGTCACACGTTGACCTGACCTGAAGTAATGTGACAAACAATCCCAGGTCTGTGTCCAACAGAGTAGAGGGGGTTTTTTTAGTGAGTAGTCTGACAAGCTCAGGAGTCTCACACTACAGGCTGGCTACCTGTGTGCGTAAAAGCATTTTTACCTCCTCTCCCTTATAAAAAAAAAAAAAAAAAAAAAAAAAAAAACTACATGAACTTTACAAGTTAGGTAATTAATTGTCAGTATGCCAAGGGGAAGAGTGGATCCTTGAAAACAGTCGAAGGCAGAGGCACCCATCTAGAAAATCCAACTGAGTTTTTAAATATAGAGGTCAGTGGATTGCCAAGACACAGATTATACTAATAAAAGGAGTCAGCGGTTTTATTGATATTAATACATCAAAAAGGGGCTCATTAATGGCACGAGGCTTCGTGTGATCAGAACGGTTAACAACAATGTAAAGTAGAAAGTATAGTCCTAACATGGAACAAGTGAGTAGGGACATATTTTGATTTCGATGATAAAAGATTTGCCCGTCTGAAACAAAGTTATCTTTTAAAATGGAAAGATGCTAATTTCTGTTATCTTTGGCATTTGCAGCAAAAGTACTTTAATTAAAGAGCAGCAATGTTCTTAGCCAGACCAATTTCAGTCATGAGCAACAACTATATACTGTATATGTTGTTTTAAGTAAGGCTACATCTTTTAATAGTAGGATAAGCATATTCATTACGGAAAATTCTGACCAGGGTAATATTCCTGAAGGTAACTTTAAGACTAAAATCGTAGTATTTATGGAAGTGCTTTTGTGATAAAAATATTGTTTTTTAGTGTTTATTTTTAAAAGTGTTTTCTTCAAGCAGCATTTTATGACCCTCACATAGGTATATGCTACATTCACTGCCTATTGGTTTGATATGATAAAATGTTTTGTTAAATGTGTTTTTAAGAATCTTAAAAAATAACTACCATGTAACATACTTGAACTTGAACACTTATTAATTTACTAAATATAATACGCATACAGCTAGAAAATGGCTGGATTGCTTCCCTTCTAAGACTTTATTATTACTGTATTTAATTTTCGACGAGTCAATATATAACACGATGAATTTGTTTTCTAAATTTATACAGTATGTTTTTGCGGGGCATTGAGCCGCACAGGTTCACTAGTTAAGTTAAAAACCTCCATAAGACGAATTTGTCTGTGACATGGGCTAGGACTGATTAACCTTTATACAACGAATATTCTTAGCACAAAACCTCTACAAGACGAACGTGACCTCTATAAGACAAATTTATCATAATCTTAACCTCCATAGTACGTAGTTTTCAAAACAAACAGAAGGTTGTCTCAACATGAAACCCCCACCCATCCCTCCTCCTTCCTCAGTCATTGTTTGGAGAAACCTTGGAGCGAAGAAAAACCTCTATAAGAAGAAAAACAGCAGCATTAAACCTCGATAAAACGACCCTCTTTATTAAGAATATCTCTATAGTATGAATATTTCCCGTACCCCTTGAAATTTGTCTTATAGAGGTTCAACTGTATTGATAAATGTAGACCTCCCTTCCCAAATTAAAGTGGTAGCCAGTTTTAGAGTGAAAGTTACTAATTTAATTGAGCTACCAGCAAAGTGATTTGATGTCAATTACTGATTATGGTCAATTACAGGTTTTTTTACGTAAACTGTTTTTTACGCCAAACTGTAAAGTCAACTTATTAAGTATAAGAACTTGTATGCCACATTATCTGGTATGGATAAACGTAGAGAGAAAGTATAACTTTATAACTATCTCTGTGAGTGGCTCATTCAACTGTTCTATTAGAAAAAAAAAAATTACAGCTGGTATTTGTATATGTGATATCAAATCCAAAGAAGAATCCAAAAGTCCACGCTAAAACGCTCTAAAGGCTGATTCACACTTATCAGTCCAGTCACAGTTCTGTTACAGTCCAATCACAGTTCAGTCTCAGTTCCTCAGTCATCTGTCCATCAGTTGGTTTCAGCCAGTCTTCCGTCACTAATATTTACAGTGATGTTAAGTCAAGAATTTTAAATTAAAACACTATATTCTATGAAATTTTCACTGTCCATCTTCTTGTTGATTGTTACAAACAGTACTTAAAATATAAACACAATCATTTACATAACAAAAACACTATTTTATAAACGCCCGAATAATCCAAAAATATCAGGGGAAAGAAATCAGAAATTCGGAACCATGTCGGATGAGTGTAGAGAGCACAATAGAAAGTCCATTAAAGAATATTCTGTGGCTAGATTGATGTGACTGAACTGTGCCGTAACTGGTATGTGTGAATCAACCTTAAAGCTGTGTGTTTTGAGTTTGTTTTTTTCAATCAGTCTCCCCTGTGGACATCTCATGTATAATACAATTATAGTTTGATAACCTAAACCTTAATGTGAATGTGAATGTGATATCCTCGTGATGTTTCAGATGACAGTGATCTTCAACGAGGCAGGCCTAGTAGACTGCAAGCCTCCCTGTGTAGCCCAGACCTTCATCAACCACAACGCAGTCCTCTACAAGCTCTACGTGCTGGGGGACGAGTACAGGGTGGTGGAGAGGCCTTCTCTCAAGAACTTCTACCCTTCAGGTCGGTTTCAGTAATGTCAAATCTTTTGAAGTGGAAGGCTCATTGTAATTCTCTGTGGGGTAGCGGATTTCTACCCCCATGAAAAAACGCCTACGTCATTTTGACGTCACAAAGGGCGGAGCCAATTCGAGAAACTGGCCTCGACTGGAAATCTACCTCCGGAAATCTACCCCCCGTGGTCAGCTCTGCCACGTATCAGCCAATATTCATTGTTGTCTCTTCGGTTAATCATTACCCTCTAATATCTGGTATTAAGCATGTGATATGTCATTGTCTTGATTAACATTATCTATCTTCCTAATGAAATATGCTGTATCAGCCCTTTTCTCACCCGAACTACTTCACCGATTTTTATGATTGAGGTGTAATTTTAAATCTTAAGATCCAGCGCAACGCAAAATGGTAAGTAAAACAATATTTGATAAAGGGCTTCAAAAGTTTGACCCTTAAGCATTTGATTTATTTCCAGACAGTGATTTAAAAGGTTGACCAACTTTCACTTTCACATACAGTAACAGCTAACAGCGCATGCATGAGTGCAGATCGTGAAATTTAATACATATCATAATGAAGGATATATCATTGAAGGAGGTTATTTTCTGATTACTAGAGGTAAAAATACAATGCAATTGTTGATAAAAAGCCTGCCACTGGTTGATCAATATATTAATTAACTAGAAGAGTACCCGTCCTTCGTATGGGGTTGGAATATGCTTATTGCAGTTATACTCAAGCTTTGCGTTTGCAATAAGGGAGGACACAGTTTGATCAAATTTGCTTTTTTAAATTTACAGTATTCTATAGTATTACACATCTACCATAGCCATAATGTTCTACCACTTCACCTAAACAATAGAGAAAAATAAATTATCAACAATTCGCAAAATATCACAAATTATTCATGAAATGAAAAACAAACATAACTGTAAACAATCCTACTTTGACAATTCTCATTGCGAATAGTTTTTTGTTGCTGCTTAGTTCAAATTAGCTCTTTTCATAAATGCAAAAAAATATAGTGCTGCACCCTGTTGGTAAATCTTATAACTTTTTAGTGCTTTTCCATATCATAGAACCAACTTTTTTAGTTGAACCAGCTGTCTAAATTCTTTAATTTATTTTATGATATAGCCCAGTTTCAAGAACAGTTTTAATCAATTACCTTTTTGGTTTTTGTTGCCATGATGTTCTTGTTGATTTTTGCACAGATGGCAAAAATCAACAAGAACATCATGGCAACAAAAACCAAAAAGGTAATTGATTAAATTCTTTAATTCCCTTTAAATATGAACGAGCTGGTGGCCCGTCCTACATACGGAGTTGTCAACTAAAACGGAATAATTCAGAACAGTTTACACGCATAGACAAAAATTCTGGCAGTTGGGGAAGATCACCTTATAAACAAATGTTACGTGACCACCTATTTATTCCATTTGAATATAGACCTAAAATATGGTGATACCTATGTATTTTAAATCCGATAATTTTACCATTAAACAGCATTTGTGTCAATTTGAAAAATCTTGAAGTGAGTTTGGCGACCGATTCACACTGGTTTTGAGTAGAGTAGCTACATGCCACCTCCAATTGCATACTGTACTACTTATGTACCTACTTACCGTACCTTATCTTACCTCCGTGACTACTGAAACTTTTATGAGGATTCTCTTCTATCACCTGCCTCTTCTTATCTAGATCCCAGTCTGAGGATGCATTTCATAACTTGATATTTCCCGTCTATCGTGTGGTACTCCTTGGAATATACTTTTTAAAAGTCTATGCAGAGCCTGTCCATCCAAGCTTTACCTACTTCTGGAAAGCATCCCTATATTTTTCTTAGCTCTCTGTTCTTTTTTATTTAGACCTGCGGGCCGTTATCGTGAACTGGTCTGTATATTTTCTCTGCACTTTATTATCTAACCCATCATTAAGGTTTTTCGGTTCTTTGGTCAGCCCCCAAGTTTCTGAATCATCAGTACTACAGGGATAGTTGGTTTGGTATGAGTCGACTTTGGTTTCTGCTGCACCCTGCAGTTTATTTAACAGTTTTTAGAGACCTACTACACCGATTGACGCTTTCACTACTATCCAAAATTTTTGTATGCCGATATACTCACATTCAAACATACAGAAAAAGAAGCATCAACACGTAAACCACTTATGTCTTAAATAATTAAGCGATAAACTGCTGAAAAATATTTCCCAAATATGAGTTGAAATTTGCAATGCATAAACTAAATACTTACACAGATTGCATTTACGACAAAACTTGATTAAACGCAAGTGTTTGAGATGTTTAGTTCAAAATAACACATTTCCTGATAAAGCAGATACTTCACGGTAAGGGAAGACTACCTATATTTTAAAGTGAAATAGTATGTAAGCAAACACCAACGAACAATATCTTTGTAAACAAATAACTTGTAACATAAACATTTCAATGACAGTTATAAACCAGCTGTTAGTTAAGCCAGCATTAAAAATACTTTAAATTGCTGGCGTCGGCTGCTAGACTTTAAAAAAATTAAAACGTAATTTCTAAAAAACTGAAACCCTAAACTAAAATTATGGCTCCGACATTCCCTAGATCTCAAAATTATCTTTCTTTCAACACAAAAATCATGAAAATCCGTCAAGTGGTTGATTCAGAATCGTGAAATAAAAAACCCCTGTTTCGTTTTAATATTATAGATACTCATAAGGTTAACATGGGGAATTACAGAGCCACTGGGGCGGAGCCCGAAAGGATTTTTGAGATAAGAATATGCCTTTATGTTAATCGGGAATGTAAGCTACCAAATTTCAGCCCAATCCGTCCAGTGGTTTATGCGTGATTGTACTTCAAACACCCATCAAACAAACAAACACACAAACTTTCACATTTATAATATTAGTAAGATTATTTCATTATCAATTCCCCTCTAGTAATAGGAAGTAGCCTAATCCCTTGGTCGTATACACTATCTGGAGTTGTTTACACAAGGAATTAATTGACAAAAAATAAAACATAAACACATTTTATGATATTTGTCAAAGCTGGTTGGGAAATAACGGATAATATGAAGGTAATGTAAAAGGATAAAATGGTGCACTTCGGGATAGGGATGGTATTTTTAACATCAGCTGATCGTTTTGGTTTTACAAATCTATTTAAATACAATTAGAGTTTTGTCTATACATTGCTCAGAATTATGATCTTTTTAGGTTATTTTTACGTTTTATACATTAAAGACGCCGAAACAAGTCTTATCTCAATTTCTGCCCGTCTGTCTGTCTGTAACGGGTCCAGAAGGCATTTTACGCGAACTTCTCCTAAAAAACGAGATAAGATTCATGCATCCATCGGGATTTGATTCAAATAGTCTTTTTGGATTCACTGGTTTGGCAACAATGCCTTCAGCAAATACAATATGGCCTCACTGCTTTTGAATTAAAATAACGGACGTTCAAAACCCCAATTGTGTGCGATTTTGTCAAGTTTCCCCCTAATGTTTACCACATACGTCATTTATGAAATACTAATAATCTGTTTATAAGCAAAATGCTGGAAGACCAAATTACATTTTCTTACCTTTAAATTTGATTTTTTAATGTGCGCCTAAAATAAATGTACGTACTGTAAATTTCTACCGTTATATTGATGTAATAGTTGTATTTTGTATTATATCTATACATTTTTTTTCTTGATTGCTTTAATAAAAACCATGAAACGTGATCGCTCCACTCAACTGGCTTTCACCATGAAAACAATCCTAGTTAACAAAGTTGCACCTAGCGTAAATGTTTATGATTTTGTTTATATCATTGTTGATTGAAATGGCTTGTAGTACAATGTTTAGCTTTCCATGCAATGAGCAAAGGTTTGCAATTTATTACATGCACTATCAAGGTATAAAATTTAAAGTACGTACATTTATTTTAGGCGCACGTTAAAAAATGAAATTTATTTTGATGAATATCTAAACTGTAATAGTTTAAAAATATTGCAATCAGTTACAAGTATTTTGTAGCAGAAAGGGGTTTTTTTAATTTTAAAACTTCTGAGAAAAAACTCTTAGAAAAGGGTATTCACTAGTATGAAGAACATGTTGAGCCGATCAGGTAGACAGACAAACCCTTAAGAAAATTAGAATACTTTCATAAACCTATCAACAACAATCCGAGGAAGAACGGGAAATGCTATCAGGTCCGTTTCGGAATGCCGGGGGTTGAAACTATTTGAACACCTGCGCTGCCTCCCGGGAAAGGTTACAGAGTAGCTGTTGAAGGGTCCAGGGGAAAAACGGGTTAGGTAAATCTTTTTGTAATTTTTGGTTTAAAACGCCATTTTGTAGTGTTATCAAGCTCCACACGATGGTATGCTCATAATTGGGAAATACGGGTCTAGTCATGGTGAAATAAATGCTTCAAATATGAGGCACCTGTGGAAGAACGGGCTAAGTATCCAGTGCATTTAAGAAGTTTTTTTTTAAATATATTCTAAGTATTGAATAGTGTTTAAAGTACTACATACCTTAAATTTAACTATATATGGACATTTATAAGTGATAAATTCCGTCAAGAAAAACACAAATTACAAGGAAATTTGAAAAATAGTTTTCCACTTTCTACAGCAGGCCATAGCACATAGTTACACCATTGACTATACACACTGACTGAAGCAAACTGGCAGGAAAAGTATAAAGTCTTATTAATAAATTATTAATAAAGGCAAAATACATTTTGAACTTAATTTCTTAGCAAAATAAAATAATATTTGTTCTTTTAACACAATGAAAATTTTAATTTGTAATTTAAATTAGGCCTATACAAGAGATACCAACTACGGAACTCAAGAAGCACAAGTAAACCTGTAAACTAAGGATAACCTGTTGGAGTTTGAAACCTGCTTCAGCAGAATCGACAGACTCCTTATCAGCTGCTTTGTTTCCTCGGAGAACTGACTCTTCAACTGACCTACTAATAGAGCTATTGCCGCAATATTCAAATATTTTAAATAT